CTTTTAAAGGAATCAAAACGCTTCGTTGCTCGTTTTTCTTACTTGCGTTACACCCTCACTTCCACAACTTATAGGACATAAATATGCTTCTCCAAACGGGACGCCATCGATCTGGGTAGACTCGGGATTACGTATTGCTGGCGTATACTTGACTGCCAATAGTTTTCAATAAAGGCGCTTCTTTATTCTGACCGATAAGCGATACTACAACAAACAGCCTTTAATTAGTTGACGATAAACAATTTTGAACTGCGCATTCAATACAATATCAGTTTTCGGTTTCCTAAGACAAATTTAAAAATTATGTGGTATGTTTTATGGTTGCCATTAGCAAAAATGTGTAGTGAAAATGAGACGTTGTTTATAGGCAATTATATTATTACGCCTGAAATTTTGTTTTTCAATACATCCTCGTCCGTAGGAGCGTACCTACAATTAGAGGATAACGAACACTTGATACTCCGCTTTAAAAAATCCGGTGTTCATTTTGCTATAAATATAAATTAATAAAAACTGATTCGAAAGGAAAGCAGAGGGATTAATTATTACCGCCATTATGAGAGACCATTGTGCAGTACACATTTTTGGAAAACCCCCACCCCTACGAAAGATATAAACTTTGTGTGAAATGATGACTAATATAGAATACAGTGATATTTAAGAAGTAGACAGGGATTTACGTGTCCACTTTTAAAAGACAAAAGGGCGCCTAATTTTATGCATCTAAAATAACTGTTTAACGATTAGTTTGAATGTTGTTGTTTTGGCTTAACAGATAATAAATACGGAAATCAAAGTAATAATATTCGAATTAATTAATATGACAGCCAGATCTTTACTTAAGAAGTTATTTTGGTTGCATAACCTTGGGCGCCCTTTAAAAGATTTTGTCATTTAAAAGTAGACATAGGGAAAAACAATACACATAAATCCCTATGTCTACTTCTTAATGAATAGCACTGTAGAAGCTCTCTTGTAAGGACTTGCATGACGACATTTTCAGAAATTGTGTTTCCATTCAGCTACAGAAAGGCGCAAGTAAATTGCTTCTGAAAGCTACCAGCACCACGTAACGCTGCAGCAGACTGGGAGATTTTATTGTTCGTCATGACGAATCAAATGAAACAAACCTTACGCCAGTGATCGTACAGATCTCATTGATCAGTTCGAATCACCGATTGCAGAAAGCTAACTCACCGCTTTTTCAAGCACAACCTAACTCTTCGCTTTTTCAAACTACAAAAACGGGTAATAAACGAATGGATACAAAAGACTCGAATGGTTAAAATATGCGTCCTGGAATATTTCTCCATTCAAGCATTCGGATTTTTAATCTCTACAACCGGCATTAACATTGTTCCCTATCGGGAATAAAAGAGTTTTCCTAACTACTTGAATAATGGGGTCCGTGAAGTTGTAGTGTCGACTTGAAAGGAATTAAGTTCCGAGTATCTCATAATCCTGTGCTCATTTTGTGCTGCTAATTTAAAATTTTGTCACTACACCACCAACAAAACACTCGTCCAGCTAGGTCAAAATAAATCAAAATTGAAACTTTTTGAAATTTTTTATAGAGGAAAAATCCTAATATTGACTTAAAATTTCTCAATTTGAGAGACTTGGTGGCCTCAGCCAGCTTCCAAAAATTCCAACTACACAACATCTGACATAATTCATGGGCACGAAAAGAAAAATCTGACATGAAAAACGCTATCTGGGTGGCACAATGGATTCGAATAAACACAATTAATTGATTGACAAACATTTATTCCAAAACACAACAAAACCAAAAAAAGCTTATATATATTGAATTCGATAGCTAATAACTGTGGCACCTGAGGCAAGAAAAATTTTGACGATAAATCTGCACATGCGCAGGCTGGGCAATACCCGCCAGAAATGTATTACTACATTATTTGTTTGAATAGTCATTTAACGATTATATCTTCGTTGTTTTTTTACGGAAGCCTGTTTTAATAGTTTTCCAGACTACGAATGATCCCCTTTTTGCTAAAAATTGATTTAAATTTAAACATTGACATTTCAGATTTAGATATTACAGTGTCCTATATGTAATATTTTGAGATCATTTATTAAATTGCCCTCGATTGTGACAGCAACCTCGTCTATGTTCTCTCCTTGTCAATTATTTTATTTCTTTAGCTTATCAAGACCAGAACAAGGATCTCTTAGTTTGCCTTGTTTCCCTTTAGGTGAGTATTGTTTTCCTTTGATATTTACTAAAGACTAAGTGGCGCCTATCCGAATTACTGTTACTACATTTCCCTTCTCAGCATTTTTGCTAGTGTGCAAGAACTCCATTATGCTTCTGATAAATCCTTCGAGATAGTTTCTATCACCTAGGCGGCTTTACAAAACGACATTTGCTTACAAATTCCTTACAATTTTTTACTAAATTTTCCATTCTGGTGGGGTTTGGTTGAGTTTACTAAAAAAAATTAATAAACCCTCCCATGTCACTTCTGGTTTTACAGTGGTGTTCCCTAAATGCGAGATTATGTATATTTTAGGCACGGATCCATTTCAGTATCTGATTAAAATTATAACTCCTTTTAAATTGTGGATTTTTGAATTTTTGAAAAATAAATTTGCATATGAACGCTTGCACAAAAACCTCGTTTGAGATGTTTTGGTGAAAGTTTATAATAATAATAAATCATCTCGTCTTTATTGAACATGTTCTCCAAGGATATTCTTTGACCAGAACGCATGGAAATAAGTGCAAAAATTAAATGTGCGCAACACAAGATAATCAAGTGATAATAGAATACAAAAAAAAGCCAAAAAAAGCACAGCATTATACATCTGCAACAGCTGTCCCAAATTATGATTAAGGAGATATGCCTGTTTTTTAAAATTATTTCCGCGATATTCCGTGATGAATGAAGGGAGAGAGTTATAAAGTTTCACAGAATAAGTAAATAAATAAATAAAGAAATAAATAAATAAATAAATAAATAAATAAATAAATAAATAAATAAATAAATAAATAAATAAATAAATAAATAAATGAATAAATAAATAAATAAATAATAACCCCTTATCTTGATCATATAAAATCCTTTATAACCCACCTATTATCCCAAACTGTTTTTTTTAATACCTGGACAACTGTAGGTATTTATCGTGGAGACAAACCTGAACAGGACGGGTATGGTGGTACTGCATTTGTGATCAAGAAAAGTGCCAAACATCGCGAAGTAATCCTTCTGCCGCTTGAGAATCATCATCAACATTATATCTTCCTTTCCAAGTGATCAAACGTACCTTACCAGAATCAATTCAACACTTTCAAATATGAAGAGTATCAAATCAGGCGTGCCGCAGGGGTTTGTGCTTGGCCCCTTACTCCTCGACGTTCATACTTACGATATTCTTGTCCCAGCTTTTTCGATGTTTGCTGATATAGTAACACACAGTTCTGATTTGGATACAGCCATATCGGGACTCTTTTAACAAGCCGCAGATGAAATCAGTATCTGGTATAACCGAGGGAATCTACTACTCAACGAAACGAAATGTGTCACAAAAATCTTCACATTAAAAAGGTGCAACAATCCAAGATGCATAAAAATCAATGGCAGACAAATACCGTGGAACCGCAAGAACCCAGACTTCCTCAGGATGTCATACTTGGTGACAGTAATTAAAAAATGTTCATGAAAACAGTTACTAAATGGACAATCTATTACTCGTTCATCATATCTCACTGACTTGCTTATTTACATCTTATATTACATACTCGATTACATATGTTTATTAGTATTTAGTTAAAAAATAATTTTAAGCTAGCCGTGTATGACCCAAGTGTGGCGATCCAGTTAATATATAATCTATATAAAAAAGGCAGAGTACGATGCACAAAATTTAATGATCACAAACTATTCACGTTAATTGTCAATTTAGCCTTTCTCCAGCGTCCAACTGATCCCGTAACCTACGAGAGCAATTTTTCGGACGAAAGACGCTGATAGTCAATGAATAGTTAGTAAGTTGGTGCAAATGAATTTCAATTACGCAACAAGTTACTCTTTTATCAAACGCGCATTGATGTATGTGTGGCGAACCTAATCAAAAGTATCTAATAAATTTTGAGAATCGTTCGGATGATTCTTAAAGCTCCAAGAAGTTTAGTAAATTGTTAAATGGAAAGTTTTGTTAGAGTAACGTGGGGGTAGATAAAATGTCTTCCGGGTTGCCTTTCTTTTTTCATTTAAGATAAATGTGTTCGAATCATTCGGATCAGATTAGGTGTTGCATTCGTTTTGTAACGTACATGTACAAACTATTTTCTAGTTGGAGTCATAGCATGACGTAGCATGCGTTTGGGGAATGTCAGGGCGCTAGAATATACTGCAGTTGATAAAGAAGCGCGCCTGTCACTCAGCGTCTTCTATTACAATACTTTCTCAATTTCCGTGGGAGTGATGTGACATTCCATCACGATGTCACGGTAAAGTAAATTAACAAAGAGCTGTCTCGGCTTTAAATAACCCCATCTTTGGCGCTACAGCTACGGCACGTCAACCACCCTCGGACGCAGCCGCTTTGTTTTTTATCATCGTCAACATTAAGTCAATTTAAGCGACAAAAGAATTGGCGTCGGTGCGGTAGCAAATCGATTCGGACGCGCGAAAGAACGGCGTAGGACACGTGTCGTCACTATCACTAATTAGAGACAGAGAGTGGAGTACACAGAGAACGTAGAAAACTGGACCGTGATGCCGCTTCCATCAGTGCCTTTCAGAAAAGCTGTAGAGTGCCCGAATACATTTGATTTATTATACACACATATTTTAAAAACGTGGGGTCGCTTTATAGCGAAGCTATCTCTGAGTTTGCATGCTAATATATATAACACATTGAAAGCCGTCAGTATTCTATATTCTGTTTGAGGTTGTTGATAAGGGAGGAAAACCACACAAAATCGACAGCAAAAGATACGAATGAGCCAGCAGAAGGATATACTTTTAAACTCTTGTGTCTGTTTTAGGGGGAAGAGAATTACTATGGGGTATTGCGGCCACGCCGCCGGTGTGGATTAAGGCACCTCCGACATGGGCACACCTCAGAAACTGCACTTAGCGGTGACCTCTTTTTGGGTTGTTGCGTTGTTTGTCTTCCACTTTTTAGGTAAGTACATTAGAAACACTAAAATGTAAGACAACTAATCTCATAAAACAATTACTTTTTCACAATTAGCCACACAAGCCGCGTAAATTATTTGTTTTAATTTCCTGTTCGGTATGGGCTGTTGAGCGCCTTTGTTCGCCAGTCTGAATAATTAACTAACCATCTCAGAATCACAATTCGACTACGTGTTCGGCATCGCAATCGGAGTTCGCGCGCTCAGCGTACCTTATTAATGAGCCTAGATTGGGTATCAGGCCGGTTATGATCGCCCTCAGAAACAGCCCGGATCACCGCCCATAGCCCGGGCCGCAAGGCAAATGTATTGCACAATAATTAAATTCCGTTTCGGTCGCATTTATACTGTGTGCGGTTTGCATGATGCGACAACATACTCTACGTTAAAATAATTACTCTGTACGTACCTATATCACAACGGCCACAGTTCCACGCACTCTCAAGCTATTTATATAAACTTTCCGCCCATAAAAACCAAATTCTAAACAACCTTTAATATTTAATTTAAAAAGTTGTCGATTCAACGATCTGCACATTTCTTCACCCAAATACGATCACTTCCGCGTAATTTATTATTAACGGAAGAATTTCGTTCCCACCCCTAAGACGAAAATTCGGATTATTAATCCGGATTTTAAAATAAACGCCTCTAAAGAATGTTTGAATTCTTACGTTAACTTTCGAAGTCAACAGAGTGATTGAAATGGTTAGGTACTCTTGATTGCTAAGTACAACGTAAAGTTTTACAGCAGTGGTATGCTCACCGACAACCCAAGGTACCATTCGAAAGGTAAAGCGGTGCACTTTCAATGAAGGAAATCCACGGGCCCATACACGACGGTCCCGACAAACTTGGCGATGTTCTTCAAATATCATGTAGCCTGTAGGGCAGGCATGTCAAACACGCGGCCCGCGGGCCGCATGCGGTCCACCGTTTTGCAACCTGCGGCCCATAGCAATGTTTGCAAATTATTAAATTTAATTGTACCGTGCGTCCCATTTGGTTGAGACTGCAGTGTTTTTAAAGGTTTCCGCGACCCTCGACCACTTTTTGGTGAAACATATATAATAACCCAAACAGAACAAATCTAGTTTTTCTTCTGAGATACAGGGTGAAAACAAATTTTGACTTTTTGGAATGTTATCATACCTTACTAGCGATGTAAGATAGAAAAAAGATAAAAACTGGCTATTTTAGATATTGTTATGTAGAATTCAGCGACGTAGTAAAAAAAACACTTGGATCGCCGTTTCTGAGATTTGATCCAAAGTTGGCATTTTTTAAAACGCCCTGTATATCTTAACGTCAATTGCTTAACAGAACCTTTTCCTGATTACATTGTATCACAACCTATATTTTTTTAATCTTATCGATGAAAATTAATAAAAACCTTATTTCTTACTTTTTTAAATAGTAGGCCCTGGATTCATGGAGATTTTGTTCTGTTTATTGTATCCATGGTAACTAAGGCAGCCGATGTCAATCAATAAAAATCGCGGGCGGTAGAAACATGTCACTTTGAAAAATATGATATTTAATTTAAAAAAATATGGGATGATTAATCTATGTAACATGGTGTTGCATTTAAAAAATATCAAGGTTGGGTCCAATCTCAGAAAAGGCGATTCAATTTTTTTTACTACGCTACTGGATTTTTCGTAAAAATATCTAAAATAGGCAGTTTTTACTAAAGGTAAAAATGATTGATAACATACCAAAAAGTCAACCTTTTCGTTTTTACCCTGTTTCTAATAAGAAACAAACGCACTTAGTTGGATTGATTTTCTTTGCGATATTAAGTTTAACAAAAAAATGGCAAAGGGTCCCGAAAACCGCACGTCTCTTATCTTTAAAAACAGCTGAAATACTCTGCAGTTTCAACCAAAATAGCGCACAGGGATATATTTCCATGATTTTATGATTATTTGTATTTTATTTGTGTTTTATTGTAGATATTATTTTGCATACCTACGATTTATCTTAATAATAAAAAATCAAAATTTTCTTAATGTGAACTTTTTTATGATATGGCCCGCAGCTGTATGTGGAAACTGGAGGGGTTAGTACAGTGGCGGATTTACAAATTTGCCGCCAGTAGGCTCTTCCGTTTTTGCCGTTTTATGTGGTTTTCTGTTTGTCAATTAAAATAAAAATATTTTTTTATTTTTTTGCTTAATGGTTGTGAGAATATAGTTAACGTTGGCTGACGTTGGAATTTTCTAAAAAATGAAAAGAAATTTCATTCTGCCCAAAAAAGCATCGATATGTTCGTTATATTCGCATTTCAAGTCTATACGCAAGAGTGAGTATATTTTGCACAAGTATTCCCGAAAATTGGATATTTTACGTTTGTGTATTAATTTTTGGAGGTGTAATCTATATTCGGCGCAATACGATTTTTTGCACTTTCATTTTTTTGTTTTTGTTAGATGAACTTACCATAAAGATTTCGATCAAATTACCCCACAAATAAGAAAGTTGATCATTGCGCATGCGCTACACGATTTTTGATGCGCCCATTTTCTTTGCTTTCATTAGAGGAACCTACCATAAAACAAACGATGAAATTGCTCCTTAAATAAGACTGTTGTCCATTGCGCACGCGAGTATAATCTCATTTCCTTTCATGCCATGGATTGCATACGACTCATGCGACTTGTTGAATCCAGATCAGCACATTATTGTACATAAAATTTTTTAATTTTGATAACATTTTTTGGTTTTGATGAGATATACGCTCGGCTCCGCCGGCTTTGCCGCCTCGCCTCGCTCTGATTTGTAATGGTCCATAGCTCAGCTTCGCCTCGCACTGTTCACTGTTCAACAAAGACAATTTGTCAGTTTCAGTTTTAGTGCGGAAAGAAAATTCCATTGAGCAGACTGAATTGACATTTTTAAAAAATTTGTTTCAGTTTTGTTACGGTAAGAAAATGATAGTGAGCAAACTGAATTGATAATTTTTATAATTTGGGAGGAATTTTTTTTTGTGAAACACTATACAAAGTGACTTTTTTTGAAAATTTCGATTGAACTTGCTGAATCCTGATCTGCACATAATTGCACATGAGATTTTTTAATTTTGATAACATTTTTTGGTATTGATGAGACATACGCTCGGCTCCGGCGGCTTTGCCGCCTCGCCTCGCTCTGATTTGTAACGGTCCATACCTCGGCTTCGCCTCGCACTGTTCATTGTTCAACAAAGCCAATTTCTCAGTTTCACTTTTGGTGCGGTAAGAAATTGCTACTGAACAGGCTGAATTGACATTTTGTTTGAATTTGTGAGGAATATTTTTGTTTTTTTGGAAACATCACCTATACAAAGTAACCGTTTTTAAAAATTTCGATTCAACTTGTTGAATCCAGTACTGCACATAAGATTTATTAATTTTGATAATAAATAATACTGCAGTGCCGTACCAAAATATTGAGATTTTTGTACATTTTTGGAGACTCGTTTTCTTTATTTGGGTGAGGTTTTTTAGCTTCCTAGCTTGAGCTAGGTGGCTATTACGATCACCGTTTTTTGGACATGTCAAAGTTTCATCAAATGTCGACGTTCATTTTAAGCAACTTTTAAAGAATGAAATTTTTGTTCCGAGATAACGGTTCGACGGTTTTGTTCAAATTTTGAATCTGTATATTAAGCATACGGAAACGAAAAACAACGGGCAGGATTTTGAGAAAAAAATGTTAGCGCCGTAAAAGCCACAAACTTTATTTTTTAAATAGCAACGCAAGATTTCTATTAAACTATTTCGACAGCCTTTCTTGTTCTGTGTGCAACCTACAAACATTATGGTAGGTTCTATTTAAAAAAAAACGGAGATTGTTAACACATTTTTTCGACAAAACGGTTATTCTGATTTCGTTAAAATTTTGGCAGGGTTCATTGGATATAAAGGATGTAAGACTGTTAAAAAGGTTTTTTTTAATATCTGGTTTGAGCTAGGAAGCTGTTCTGTTAAGAATTTGGCACTTGATTTTCATTTTGACTATGAGGATCTCGTAAAATTGTAGTTTTTTAACTTTGAAATTTTTTTCTCGGTTTATTTGTAATAACAACTAGCACAATTGTTGTAGGTAATACACAGAAAAATAAGGTCTTTCGAATACCTTTTTGAAAAAAAAAGTTCAATGCAGTTGCGCGCTCCAACATTTTTTTTCAAAAACCCGGCCCATAATTTTTCCCGTATGCCTAACGTATTTATAATATCCAAAATTTGAACCGAATCCGTCGAGCCGTTCCCTCGGAAAATTACCAACGTACGCAATAGGTACATACAGACGGAAAAAATGTCATATCCGTTTTTCCATTCCGAACACCTGTCTAGGAATATTAGAGAAATGTCTTTCTAATTGGCACTGCCGTGGGTCAATTATTTCTGGTAGTAAAGCTGTCATATAAAATTTCTTGAGCTTTGGAATCATATTCGTTTCCCAAAATGTAACGTCATTGCGTATTACTCTCACTGACATTCCAATAGGAGTACATACTACAAAATAACATACTTTTTTCGTAATATTTAGTTGTCCCTGATGCACTTGGTACCTATATATAAACATATGTAGCCTTTAATTTTAATTTGTCGTCCACTACATTACAAAATGCTATGTTGTTTTCAAAAATTATTCAATTATTATTATTATTGTATAGCTCATATGGACAGTTTAATAACGAATTAAAAAAATCTATTCCTAAAGAATCAGTAGTTACGTACATTATGTACACTAAATTTAACATTTTGTATACACTTTACTTAGCGTAAGTACTTGTATTTATACCCCTTCAAGAACTTGCGCAATATCTTCCCACATTTTTGTAAGCCTAATGATGCTAATTATCCCATTTGATAGTGAATAGTATCATAAGAACTTTATAAATAATGGGTATTAATTAAAATTTCCAATAGTAATCGCCTTTTGAATGACTTCATTCAATTTGTAATAAAAACACATTAGCCTTCTTCAGAGGCACCTCTAA